GATCCCCGAAAGCATGACCAAAATGACAAAGAGTTCATCGGATGGGAAGTCCAAGACCAACTCTGAGACCAAGTTCGAGATACAGTCCGGAATCGAGTCCGAAGCCGATTCGGAGACCGAGTTTGAGACGGAGTCTGAGATCTGAGAATTGGGTTCGAGACTGATCCGAAGTCTAGTCCGAAGTTGAGTCCGAGATCGGGTCCGAGATTGAGTCCGAGATCGGGTCCGAGATCGAGTCCGAGATCGAGTCCGAGACTGAATCCAAAGTCGGGTCCGAGATCGAGTCCGAGATCGAGCCCGAGACCAAGTCCAAGTACTAATACGGGTCAAGGGGTGAAAGCCCAAAGTGTGTGTCTCCCAGGGGGGGGGGGGGGGGGGGGAACCCCTCCCCCTCTCCAAAGGGAAACCCATTGGGGGGCTCCCCGCTCATGGGGGGGGGGGCCCCCCTTGAGGACCTTGGGGCCCATTGGGCTTTGCCCTTTCTAGGGGCTTGGGCCTTCCTTTCGGGATGGAAGTGGGGGGGTAGAGGTACTTATACCAAGCCATTAGGCCACGGTGTTTCGCCCCAGTGTCCCGAAGCAAGTGTTGCACCCAAGACTTGGGATTTAGAGGGTCCCATGATTAAGTTTTATGGTACCAAGGGATGTTAGGAACCTGGAGGCTTGGTGTGCTTGGCTGTTTGTGCTTGTGGGGAGTGTAGCCAAACCTTAAGTCCAGTCTAACCCGGGGAAGGGGATTGGGAGAGATTTGGGAATTGGTGGATGGATGGCTAACACTCCGTTGCTTGTGCAGTGAGTAGCTGAAACCAAATAAGACCAAGTAGGAGCTGGTACCATAAGCAGGAACTTTGGCGGGGGAATTTAGCAAAAGCCAAGGCAGTGTTGTATGGGTAGACGAGGTAAATTGGCAAATGGGAAAGGAAAAATTTGTGGCTTACACTTGGGCCATGCCAGGAGGGTGCAGCCAAAGATTGGAAGCACAATAAGCAAGTGCAAGAATAACAGTTTGTGTAATGAGTCATCTTTGTATTTTTGAGAGCTGCCGTCAGTAAGAGACCCCCCACAATGATCAAGTCCAAGCATGCCAACATCATTGCCAGAGTACTGTGGACCTGATCATCGTTTGAGCCAAATGAGTGCAATCTATGCCCAGTATGGGAGATTTCTAGGTTTTTCCAAGGATTGTCTAGGGAATCCGGCGGCCGCTCTCCCAGTTTGTTGTGTCTAACTTTCTCTACAAGCTCTCGTTTTTCTCTCTTTTTCCTTAGGGATTGTCCTGCTGTTTTCTAGGTTTGTTATGTTTGGGGAGGTCGAGAAGGCCAAATCTCAAGGAGACAGCCAAAGATTCCCCTATCTAACTGTGCAAGCTTGTTTTTTTCTCTCGTCTTTACAAAGTTTGCCGGTGCAGGTCTGTTCTTGAGTTTCGTCTCTTAACTCTGCTGTGAATGCTTTTCCAGTGATGAAAACCAGATCATCTCTAGGAATTCTCTCAGGTGTGCAATATTCTAAATTGGATGGATTTGATCTTTTCTTGTTTTGCTTTAAATAAGGGGTATCGATCGAGTGAAGACTACATATCCATATGTAGCAGTTAAAAAAGTAGACAGAGAGCATGGAGGATATCTAATGGACAGGTTTTGCTATGAAAGAAATGTAAGCTTTATATTTGTTGGGCTTTGTAATATTGTTTTTCTTTGTGTAATTTCTAAGGACGAAGGGCCTACTTTCCTCAGCCTGAGGATATGCCCGTGGAAGTAACCTTTCCCCTTTACTTAAAGGGTATGTGCTTGGAAGAGGCACAACAGGCCTATCAATGGAAGAAACCAAATTACGCGTATGTGTATAGACTATTAGTTGCTCAACAAGTATACAAAAAAGAATAAGTACCCTTTGCCAAGGATTGAGGACCTGATCTAGTTTCTACCAAATGGTGCCAAAGCAAAATTTAGTGAAGCAACCAAAAGTGCATTTTAGATCACTGTTGGATGGTAAGTTTTCTTTTTATTTTTCTTTTTTAGTTTTAGTGTTTTTTTTTTAGGAATTCTACTTTGGATAGCATCCAAGCTGCAATAAACTACCTACTCTTTTTTTACTGCCTTTCGAACGAGTTTAACGATGGGTTGGCGATAGACTAGTTTATCAGAAGGTATTCCTTCTTATGTTTACATGTAAAGTAATATTTTTTTGCTTTTGTTGCAGTAAATGCGAAGCCTTTTTTTACAGATCTCAGCTATTATAAATTTAAAATGGTAAAGAGAACCTTTTTAATAGATAATATATAAAAGTCTCAATGTTGTAATCACTTTGATGATAACTCACTTTGAGAGCCTGTGTTGCGTTTTTCCCAATGGCTATCACCTCAACTTTGCCTTGTCCTGCAAAAGTTAGTGCTGGCTCCAGGAATGTGAACCACTGTGGAACTCCCATGATGGAATCAAGGAGCTCATCACTTGCGTTCTTCTGTTTCACAGCCTCCGCCATGTGAAGCACTGGACAACCTTTAACTCAACTCAGGTATGACAATGGTGCACTATGGAACCTTCACTGAAAGTCTTGAATTGAAACTCAAAGTTCCTTGAGACTAAGGCAACTGACTGCCCAGGATTGCCTTGGTAAATGTGGTTGTGAGAAAAAATTAATGCTTTCTGAGATCAAATTATAGTTTAAGCATTAACTTCAATGTTTTACTAAGGTTAACTTGCTAGAGTTAATTCTTTTGCAAGAGGTAAATGAAAGTCTTCAAAAACTGCATTGGACTTTGAGCTCTCGGGTCAGCTGGTGCATGTTCCCAAGTTTTATTTTTTTTCTTTGTGAGACTCTGATTTTGCTGCAGTGGAAAGCATAGGAAATCATCAGGTAGTGCGGTAGGCCATAGGAGGAACGATCTAGTTGTTTATGTTTGAGGGATTTGCAAAAGCTTCCCACAATATTTGTTGCTCAAGGATATTATCTACCTATCGTTTATAATCTTGTGGTGCCCAACCTCGAAGCATGTGTTTGTGAAATTTGCTAATACGAAAGAACGAGGATTTACTTTGGCATTGATCAAATTCGCGAGAATAGTTCTTGGATGCTGCCTTTCTGGACGTCACCCGCGCATATCTGCGAGAAAGAGCCCCACTGTTCTAAGAGAATCCTCGTCTGATCAAGACATTTACCTCCACGATTTTCTCTGAGGATTCCGGGACCACGATCGCTTCCACGCAAACTTCAGCGACCTGATCCACGAGCCACAAGACCTTTTAGATGCATGCTTTCCTGCTAGAGTTTCTTACCTTTGATCGACTGATACCACCTATGAAGAGCGAGTCGGCTGGCCTCATGACGAGAGCCTCATCCTGGAACAAAAAGAAACGTTATCTCTAAGAAACTTAGGAGAGAATAGCAACGCTTACAGCGGGTGCGTTCTCTCGTAGACCAGCAGGCCTTACGATAGTGTACTCAAGCCCTGAGCGTTGCAATGCAAGCTCTGCCTGCCTTTTCCTGAGGAAGGATAAAACGAGTGAGACAACATTCTTGCGAAGTTAAAGCTTGTTTCGCTTACCACCACAGAATGGGGATTATCTGGAGGAATGACGAGACTCCTATCGACGTAACCAGTATAAACTGCGAGTTAAATGTCAGTCTGGATAGACAATACTTTGCTTGCTACCTTTTTCACTTGTCCTTGGTTCTTGGCTGCCGAGATAAGGTTCACAACTCCTTCATACTCGATCTGGAAAAAAATCACTCAGTGTCAAAGAGAATGTGATTAACAACTTAAGAACCTGGTAAGTCTTCATAATATCCAGCGGGAAAAACTTCGTCCCAATGACACACACGACCGCATTACTGTAAAGCTTGCTTTAGACTGGAAGATGAGAAAGAGCCAAACGTACCTATCACCCAGTGCTTGCTTGAGAGTTTCGTATTTACAAATGTCGCCACGGACAGCCTGCTTGTCCAGAAAGAAGACACGTTACCAGACAACGCAGTGACACCAGCAGCACAAATTTCAACTTACAGTCACGTTGCCCTGCTCGTTGAATCGATTGGCCTTATCACGACACAATGCTCGCACTTTGGCACCTCCTTTCGAGAGCTTTTCCACCACGAGCCTGAGTTTAGAGAATCAAAACTTGGTTACAAAGGAAAAAACGAAAGAAAAAAGCAAGAACGGAAAAACGAACTCACGAACCTTCCAGTTCTTCCCGAGGCACCGGCCACGAAAACCTTGAGATCAGCAAACCGCCCTTGATCGTGCCGAGGTTGCTCCTTTGGTTCCGTGCCATCTTGATCGTGCCGGGGCTGCTCCTTTGATTTCTTGCCATCTTGATCGTGCCGGGGATGCTCCTTTGATTTTATGCCTTTAGACGAATCCACGGGAGTGCTGCCAGAAACTTCTTTCGAGACTGCCTCAGCCCCAGCTTCTACGTTCTCTTTCAAATCTCCTCCCAAAGAAGAGATGCCCTCGAGCCGGTCTCTCTCTTCTGAGTCTTCCTCTCCATCGTCAGCTTCGTTCTCCTCTCTCAAATCACCTGGCAAAGAAGAGACGGCCTCGGGCTCTTCCGACTCCTCAACTCCATCCTCGCCATCATCCGACGCAGCATCCTCGTCGGAGATTTCTTCATCCAGCGCATTATCGAGCAAAGATTTCTCTTGCCGATCTTCCTCAGCCCCGTCGGGAGTGGAGCTATCCAGGATGTGAGGCTGCCGGACGAGCTCTTCCTCCACCGGATCATACAGATTACGCTTATTCAGGAGCTTCATATGCCCTGCACAGACCGATGCGATCAACAACAGCCAAGACGCAGGAACAAGAGAAGAAAATTTCCACTCACGAGCTCGCCGATGCTTCGTCCGCGCCACAATCTTCTGCATATCGCGCTTGGATCCTCCCGACGCCGTCGAGCATCGCACCAATCCGCGAGCGCGCCTCGCCGGAGGAGCATCCGCATTGGACCGCCATTGCCATGCGGCATCGAACCCCAACGTTAATTCCATACTCCCTTCTCTTTATTTTTAGGGTTTATGCCACTCGGTTGTTTTGTTCTTGCGCCAAGCGCGTTGCCGCCTTCCACATCGCCGATCGATCGGGAGGTGGTCGCATAGGCAGCATCTTCCTGAGCGCTGGTCGATCGATCGCGAGGTTTTAGGGTTCTTATTTAAATCTGCGGGTGGTCGGGGAGAGGCAATTTGGGTATTTTCGCGTGTTTTTTTGCTTTCGTTCGTGTGTGGATTCGTTCGAAGATAGGTGCCTCTTGTAGTAGCGCGGCAGTCGCCACACAGCGCTGCAATATGAGGAAGAGTTCGAGGCGCACTGGCGTGATGCCCGCTCCAGCGGCGATGGCTCCACCCGGTAAGCCAGTTCTTTCACGCGAAAGCCTTACTCTTTCCTTCTTTTTTTCTCCATAGTGAAGAAAAAGAAAAGGACTGACACGAGTTTGAATCCAGCAAAGTCGAGCTCCAAGGAATTCGATAAGTGTGACACCTTGTTCAGTCGCTATGCTGAGAAGAATGACAAGTGCTTGATCGGGTGAGTGAGAGCTGGAAATTGTTTGATCGGCTGGTCGTATTGACAAACGTTGTTGCGAAAAAAAAAAGTCCGGAAGGAATAGAGGCGCTGTGCCGGGACTTGCAGATCGAACCCACGGATATGCGTATTCTTCTCCTGGCTTGGTGAGTATTTCCGAAAGTTAAGAGCTTTGAGCGAATCTTTCGGTTATATGTTCCAGGAAATTCGGAGCTGACAAGCAGGGATTCTTCACGCTGGTGAGTCTTGCTTTTGAAAGTTTTTTTCGCGCATTCAAGGATTGTTTGTTCTAGGAGGAGTGGCGAGCGGGCTTGAAGGCCTTGAAAGCGGATACACTGGATAAGTTGAAGAAGGCACTCGCAAATCTCCAGCAACAGGTGCGTGAGTGTATGATTCAAGCATCTTTTCGCTTATATAAGTTATCTTGCTTTCCAGGTTGCGGATGACGAAGAAGAATTCAAGTCCTTGTACAGCTTCTCCTTTCAGTATTGCTTGACAGGTAATCGCAAATCATCCATCCATCGCTGTCGCTGTAGAGATTGATGAACCTCCTTTCTCTTCCAGAACCAAGGCAAAAGACGCTGGATCTCGATTCGGCGTGCCAAATGCTGGAGCTCATTCTCTCGGGACGACCGCATTTGGATTCCTTCACTCGTTTCCTCCAGGTACTTCGTTGCTCTTTCAGGTTTCTCCAGAGCTTTCGATTGATCTTCACGCATGGTTGGGATACTTTCTTCTCAGGAGCAAAAGGAATACAAGGGGATCAATCACGATCAGTGGATTGGATTTCTTCGCTTTTGTGACGAGGTATTCTAAAACTTTTTAAACGTTTTTTCGCGGGATCCCATCTTAACACTCGCTTTGGATCAATCACGCAGGTGAGCACTGATATGAGTAACTACGATGAGACGCAAGCGTGGCCTCTGCTCCTGGACAACTACGTGGAGTGGTCAAAACAGGCCGGTGGCTCCAAAGAGCCCATGTAAGAGAGAGGTGGCATATGCGATTGAAAATTCTTTTTTGCCCTCCCGCGTGGCATGGTGCGCTGGCACTGCTAGACAAGTGTTAGCCAGTGTAGGCCCAGTATTCGAATGACGTGTCTCGTGACGTGGTGCATTGTTTCTACAATTTGGGGGAAGACGATGGATCTGTAGATCTTTCTCCTCGCTCGCGCTGTAGCAACGACGAAAGGAGCCTCAATCGGTGGTGCGCGTTGCTTTTCGCTGAGTGGCCGTGCTGCGATTGCGGTCTTAGGTCTAGGATTTGTGGCTGTAGGTCGGGATTTCTAGGGGAGCTCCGCTCCACAACAGGGAGGAAGAGGATTTTCGCTGCTAATGCTGCTCGATCGATCGAGGCAGCTCACGAGATGGTGAAAGATACGGAGTATTACGACGTTCTAGGATTGACGCCGGATGCGAGCGCGGCCGATGTAAAGAAGGCGTATTATGTTAAGGTAATTGTCTCGTCTCGCTTGGCAAGCTCTCGATCGAGAGTGATCTTTTCTCTTCCGGCCAGGCTAAGAAGGTACACCCAGACAAGAATCCCAATGATCCACAGGCCGCAAGGAATTTTCAAGTAAGTGAGCTAGCTCCTTTCCAGTCTTCCAAGCGATTCTTACAAGCGATTCCATAAACTCTCTAGCTTCTCGGGGAGGCGTATCAAACGCTGAGCGATCCTGCGAAAAAAGAAGCCTATGACAAATTCGGCAAAGCTGGAGTGTCAACGTAAGTGTCTTTGCTACGAAGGTTCCATGTGTTCTTATCGAGGCTTTTTTGTTCTTGTGATGTTTCTTTCTTTGCAGAGACCAAATGCTCGACCCCGCTGCGGTGTTTGGCATGCTCTTTGGAAGTGAGATGTTTGAAGATTACGTTGGGCAGCTTGCAATGGCATCTATGGCGTCCATAGATACTTCAAGTGGTGATAACCAAGCCATGGATCTGAGGCAAGTACAAGAGAAGCTCAAGGTGAGTAGCTAGCGCTTTTGTTTTCTGTCTAGTTGCTTGCTCTTTAGTTTTCCGTCCGTTAACTCGGCCTTGTCTTTGCTCTTCACAGGTTTTGCAACAAGAGAGGGAAGATAAGCTTACCAAGTGCTTAATCGCTCGTCTACAGCGTTATGTTGACGGCGACAAAGACGGGTTCAGTGAATGGGCGAAAAGCGAGGCTCAGCATCTTTCGAATGCGGGTATTATATAATCTTGGTGCTGAGCTTTGATCCGTGTTTTTTAACCCGGAAGTGCTTTCTATAATTTTGCGCTGTAGCTTTTGGAGAGCCGATGCTGCACACGATTGGGTACATATATGCTCGACAGGCTGCAAAGGAGCTTGGTAAAAAAATGTTGTTCATGGGAGTTCCTTTCTTGGCGGAATGGGTTCGTGACAAGGGACACTTTATCAAGTCACAAGTGACCGCCGCGGCTGGTTTGTAGAGTTTTACTCAGCTCCGCTTTTCCCATTATTCTAACAAGCAACTGTTGTCTCAGGTGCGATCGCCTTGATGCAAATGCAAGAGGATATGAAGAGGGAGCTCGCTGCAGGGGGTGATATGAGCGAAAGTGCCATCGAAAAGTATCTTGAATCCAAGCAACAAGTGATGATCGACTCTCTGTGGAAGCTCAACGTCGCGGACATCGAGGTCACTTTATCACATATCTGCCAGAACGTAAGCAAGAGATGTCACAACACTCTGATCACACAAATGTGATATACTGTCCAGGTTTTGCACGATGCTTCCGCTGGAAGAGAAGTTCAGAGGCAGCGCGCAAAGGCTCTGAAAAAGCTGGGGAATATTTTCCAGGTTTGTTTGCATTCTCCATTCTCTTATCCTTTGTTCCGACAGGGCTTACAGGGAGCCAAAGTTCCGTATAGAAGAGAGAAAAGCCTTCGTCACGACGCGAAGCTGGGTCAAGACAGCTCGAGCTCCACACCGACGCCTCAACCGAGTAATTCATCTCACACCTTCCAGGTTTTTATCACTTAAGTTGTTTCCAAGCTCAAATCTTCCATGAACTTTTCTTTTGTTTGATTTGTTCTTCCAGAACCCAGCGGATGGTGGTTTTGCTAATCAGCCCACGTCAATGCCATCTCCAGCTGCTCCTCCGGGCATGGCATGAAAAAAATGGGAGAGATTGTGAAGAAAAGATCCATACTCCATTCTTTCATTGCGTGTATTGTGTGTCTATGTGATCTGACGGGTATAATTGAGACACGTGGCTAGTGGGCATTTGAATGATTCTAGGACCAGAGACAGCAAGGAAAGCGTACTCTCCCGTAGAGTTTCTTGGCATTTGGAAGGCGTGATTAGGGCTTGTGGGAGCTCCGCTAGGGCTCTTCGATCCCGATCCTCGCCGCAATGTCGGACGCAATGGTAAATGGATTGGCAGGCGCTGGAGGCGGCCTCGTCGCGCAGCTCCTCACTTACCCGCTCCAGACGGTATTGTTAGCTTCGATCGATCGAACCGAGCGTGATTCTGTGATGCATTCTCAGGTAAATACTAGACAGCAGACGGAGAGGAGATCAAAGAAGGCCGCGTCTTCCTCCTCGTTGGATGATTCGCAAGCGACAATTCGGAAGAGTGGCACAATTTTGGAGATCTACAGGGTATGTTTTGGATCTTGGAGCGTTGACGCAATTCTTTTCATAGGTGATAGCGGAGGAAGGATGGGGTGGATTATATAGAGGTTTGACACCCTCACTTTTGGGAACAGTAGCGTCTCAGGTTTGTATGCGTGGTCTAAAGTCGTGATGAACTTATTGTTTGGTTTGTGCAGAGTGTGTACTACTATTTCTATCAGCTGTTTAGAAATGCGGCCGAGTCTAATGCTAGACGGAGGAGAAAGAATGGCATTGGAGATGGTACTGTTGGTATGTCCGACTCACTACTTGTAGCAGCATTGGCAGGGTAATTGGTCTTGATGCTTGTCTCTGACTTTGGAGTTCCTTTTTCCCTATTGCAGAAGCTTGAACGTGCTCCTGACGAATCCTATCTGGGTCGTGGTGACTAGAATGCAGGCATGTTGTGCTAGCTCGTTTTCGTTGCTTCATATTACCGATGTTTCAGACACAAACGCAAGCGGAAATGAAATCAAGCGCTCTTCAAAGTGAGATTGAGAAACCTCCTGCATCTCGTGAAGCATTGCCAGCGGATGTTGAAAGTCAAGCAAAACACATAAATATTGTCTCTCCTGCCACCAATCATGGTGCCGCCTACACTGTAAGTTAATGTTTACTTTTTTTTATGTTAGTCTTGATGATGATTGCTTGTTAGGTTCAAGACCTCTACCGCGAAGCCGGTTTAATAGGCTTTTGGAAAGGAGTTCTTCCCACTCTTATAATGGTAACCACCAAACTTTGCATCCGAAACTCTCACGTTCATGTATCGAACAGGTTAGCAATCCCGCTATTCAATTTATGATTTATGAGACCCTATTAAAGGAACTCACCAAAAAGAGAAAGATAAACAAGCATGGGATGAAAGATGTTTCCCCTTTAGAGGTAAATGCGATTGCTTCCAACATTCCTCGGTTGACAGTTAACTGCCAGATTTTTGTGATTGGTTCTATTGGCAAGCTCGGTGCCACAATTGCCACATACCCGCTGCTCGTAGTAAAGGTACTGAAGTTGATGTTATGGTTGTCCCTTTCACTAAAAGATGTCCTTGGGTTACCAGTCGCGCCTCCAAGCGAAGCAAGCAATCGGTAGGGATAAATCAACGCAGTACACAGGTTCAGTATCGATATTGTTTCGTGTCGTTGAGTTGACGTATGTGACCTTTGAACAACAGGAACTTTAGATGCAATCTTCAAGATGATCAGGTACGAAGGTTTGACCGGGTTCTACAAGGGGATGAGTACAAAGATCGTACAGAGCGTGGCAGCTGCGGCCTTGCTCCTTATGATTAAGGAAGAGCTGGTCAAGGTGGCTAGAAAGCTATTACTGAGGCGGCAAAAGAAACTTGCATCTCGTTAGCTGCTAAGAGGTAAACGCTTCTTCTTTGTGCTGATGTAAGGTAACCTTCGATTTGTTTTTCCAGGCGATTTGAAATAATTTCTGACTTGACTTCCCAAGGCGTGAAGGATGTTCCATTCTTGGCTCGTTTGAAAGCTGCCACCCGAAAGATTTAAAGATATGGATCGGTTGGAATCCACACGGGTGTGGCCAAGCACTTTGTATTGGTAGTCACAAGGGGCCACTCTTTCCTTTGTCGCATTACAAGCCGGAGCAGAGCTGGAGAACATGCAGGTGGATTGGACTAGGATCAGAGATCAAGAGAGAGGGTCCGGGATCTTCTTTCCAGCAAGTTGGAGCAGTCGTGAATTGCGTGGATGCTTGGTGGAAAGAGCTGTCACCAGGTTGCTGGGGCTTGTCAGGGACAAAGTCTTTGGCAAACACACTCTACTAGTATGAAGACCGATTGTCTTGTCAGTACTCTCTCTCGAATTGAGACTCCGCATCAATGCGGAGAGATGTTGATCAAATGATCCTGCGCTAAGCCGACCGTCGCTCGCAGCAAACACCCGAGCTTATTAACCTTGACCTCTGACAGTGACTTTGTGGCTGCAGCAGCAAATAGATTGGTGGGACGTTCCCATTCAGCACAACGAGTAAACAAAGAACGAGAGGTATGAGTTGTGCTGCTTTGGTGCGAGCTGAATATTATACTAACACCTTGGACGTTTGACTGTGTATCCAGAAGGAGCCAAATTGGCGTGTTTACAAAAGCTCGAGCATCTGCGGTCCCACTCGTTAAGTAGCTACCCTCGTGGAGGAGAGAAAAAAAGAAAGAGGAGAAAAACTGCAAGAGGAAGAAGAAAAGGTTTGCTATTTTATGCTACAGTTCTCATGTTCTTGCTTGTATAGCCGCACATTTGGGACTACGAGCAGCCCGAATGAGACTCGCAACAGCGAGCTCTCAACTACCAGCGTAGCTTCCTATATGATTGTGGCTCGAAAGATGGTACTCGTTCTTTTGATTTACCGGCCACTGCTCCTTAGAATTTCTCTCGGCTTTACAACAAAACTTTTAGCGTGTGCAGTGGTGCTAGATCTACCGCAGCCTGGCACTCTGCAATCAAGGATCGTGCTGTCGGTACGCTTTGACTTCCTGTAGCCGCAGCCGACGTCCTCGCGTTGGCTACGGCTTGCTTTGTTTCCTTGCTTTTTCGCGTCCTCTGTATGATGCTAATCAACTCTTTCTTCTGTAGGATAAAGCAGGAACAAGCACAGAGGCCGTGTGCATATACCGGCAAACAGATTACGAAAGAAGTGATTATATGTGCACCGGAGAGGGAGGTAGGTGCATGTAAACATCAATCATACGCCTTCTGGAGTTGAGATTCCCAGAAGAAAATAAAACTCGAATAGACAGGCTCTCTCCGTGCGACACAATGCTCTGCAATTAATGGGGGAATGGAAAATCCCTCTAGAATGGTGAGCCGTCTCCGTGGTTGCTTTTGTTTTTACTGGATTGTCTCTCGTTTTTTTTTCTTACAGGGTGGAGAAAAGTGGACTTGGAGCCTTGAGGTACAACTGTCCGATGGTTCCCGGAGGAACTACAAAAGCTGGTAACTTCACACCGACAAAACTGTTTCCGGATCTATCTCCCGGTGAAAATGTGGCGACCTCGGTGTGCACAGGATACCAGGGGTGCTGTCGGACACCACGGCGTGAGATATTCCATTGCTGTTAGATCTTCTAATCCAGGTTCGCCAGTATCTTAGCTTAGCTCACTCTTATTTCCTTGCTTGCACAAGATATTGACTTAGTGGAAGGTTTATCGCCTTGCGCACAACCTAACGACCGTGCTCTCGTTTTTAAAACATTTGCTCCAGGGAACACGAAGAAATACACATGGCCTTATATTCGACTTTGGCTTGGCTCGCCGTGCTACGTGATTTTCCGCAAACTGGCCAAAGAGCTACTAATATCAACCAACTAATCTCACCGTCATTTGACGTCAGGCTACATTGCTGCCGAGCTCATGGTGATGAAGGCAAGCCATATTTTCTGTTCTCTTGTTTTGGTTTCTCTTTTCTTTCGCTCGGTTCTTTTTTTCCCTCATGCTTTGTTCTCTTCCTCGCGCAGGGTGTGTTGCAACTTGGACAGCGATGGCGGTTTCCTGATTGATTTAAACGGGGGCCGTGTCTCATTCCCAGCCCGTTTTGTTTGCGTGAAGCTTCTTCTCAAAGCGCGTAAGGTTCGTTCTACTGTGCTTGCTTAGAATCGATTTTTCTAACCATGGAGATTCTTAAACGTTTCCAAGGATTTCCAAGCTTCGTTTTTTATTTCCAGGAACGAAAGAGCGGTTGTTGGCCAGCGGCGTGGGTGTTCTAAACACCACGCAAAACGCGAATTCTTGCGGGTGAGCTCATCGTTTTTCCCTTTTTCCCTTACGATATCCGGGTCTACTGGTAGACATAGATTTGGTTTGTCATATTACATGAGCTCATCATTGTTACAGGTTAGTTTATGTGTCGTTACAGGCCTTCATTTAAACAGCAGAGAAATTTGGCCGCGTTTGTGATGCAAGCAAAGCAAGCCAACAAGCAAGCCTCCACCATCGCCGGGTAAAAACATTTCTTTTTCCGCTAATCACAGACTCCAGTTTTTAACCGAGGGGAGGAAGAATGTCGACAAGGATGGAGTGTCCTTGAAAGTGAAGGGAATCGAACCCTGTCAACCCGGAAAATTAATCCCGCGGCCGTGGGGCCGCCGGGGTTTTGTCGGAGATGCAACGACATGGGACCCGAAATCATATCGGACGCTGATGCCCGAGCCACTGAGACGCGCACACGTGGCAGTCCACAGTGGCCGCAGTTAATGCTTGGGTCCCGCCACGTGCGCGCTAGATGCTGGGTTCCAGAAGGCTGACGTGGCCAAACGGTTTTTTTGCCCTGGAGGTCCCAGGCTCGAATCGCAAGCGCGTCGGAAGGGATCTCGCCAAAGTTTAAAATAATCGCAACTCGCAACGTTTCGCTTGTTGACAAGAATTTTTTTTATAATCTTGTCAATGCAACTTGATCGTATTTTTTGTGGAGACCGGATAATGTCGGTGAAGACCCAATCTACAGCGTCCGATCCTTCTTATATTTGTTGTCGTCCGTCCGTTCCGTCCGTCCTTGTGTATGTTTGATACGCTTGGACCATCTACACGCTGTTTCAAGAAGACACGGGATGACCGCTTCTACAAGCACACAAGAATTGTATATCGTACATGAGAATGCGACCGTCAACTTTATGAAAAAGCTCGCGGGAGAAAAAGAAACAAGAAAATTTGATGCGAGATGGAAAAACTACCCTCTGGTCGTTTGCTTGAACTGCAAAGTCACGTCTTATCGAGCTTTATATTCCTTGGAGACATATCAATGGGGGCCATACCACCTTTCCAAAGTCCGTAAGTCTGTTAAACAAAGGTTTGCTACGCACAAATTATATTGATATTAGTTACACCTTACCAACCACGAATCAGGGAGCCCTAATCAGAGAGGATATTCGGTGATCCATGGCAAGAATATGTGATGATTGATGTGGTGGTGGTAGCAACCTAGTATTGCGCGCGTTTAAAATCTCCGGGGGTGGGAACAAGGGTTTCTCTGCAGCTCAAGTGTCACAATTCCATCCGGTCTCTGTCACATCCCTCTCGCTTTCGATCGATCGCTCCTCTCTCTCTCTCTCTCTCTCTCCCTCTCCCCTCTCGATCAATCAATCGATCGAGGCATTCATCCGCTCGCTCTCTCGCGCTCGCGCTCGCGCGCACTTTCAAAAGAAATACACCATACAATGCGATTGATCGATCGATCCAGCAAAGCGGCCGGGGATGATCCATCGTTCGTGCTCGTTTTTCCCGCATTAGGTTAATTTGGGGGGAAAAGAGTAGCATGGGGAGGCATTCGTGCTGCCAGAAGCAAAAGCTCAAGAAAGGGCTATGGTCGCCAGAGGAGGACGAGAAGCTGGTGCGCTACATCACCAAGTATGGCCACAGCTGCTGGAGCACGGTGCCGGAGCAAGCCGGTCAGTAGCAATCGATCGCTCGAATGTGAGCCGCAAGATCACTCATCCATGGCGCTCGAATTATTTGCAGGATTGCAGCGATGCGGCAAGAGCTGCCGGCTCCGGTGGATCAATTACCTCCGCCCGGACCTCAAGCGTGGGAATTTCACGTCGCACGAGGAGAAGCTCATCATCGATCTCCACGCGGCGCTTGGCAACCGGTAAAGAGAGATTCTTCGTTTGGTTTTCGTTGTGAGAATTCCTCTCATTTGATCGGGGATTCTTGTTCCAGATGGTCGCAGATCGCGGCGAGGCTGCCCGGGCGCACGGACAACGAGATCAAGAATTTCTGGAATTCTTGCATCAAGAAGAAGCTCAAGCAAATGGGGATTGATCCCAACACCCACAAGCCTCTGCTCGTGGCCACCTCCGCCGCTGCCGCCGCCGCCGCCGCCACTAGCCCCAGCGGCGCCGCCGCCGCCACCGCCACCACCACCCCGGACGCCAAATCACCCATCATCGAGCAGCAATTCCTGGACAAATCCAGCGCCAGCGCCGCCATGGTGATCACGCGACAACCCCCCAAACTGTTCGCCTGCCCCGAGGAGGACGACGATGGCGACGACGACACCATGGGTGGAGAGGACGCCGCCATGAATTTCAAGAATGCCGGTCGATCGGACCAGCACGACCCCCGGAAGTTCTCGTTTCTCGCGAGAACCAAGCCACCCCAGTTCTTCAGCTGCGGCAGCGATCGCGACGAGGACAACAACGCCATGACACCGCTCACACCGCCATCGTCTTCTTCGAATTCTTCCAGCTATGGATCACAGCAGCTCTATCGTCCAGCATTTGGGTTCTTCCCCCAGCAGCAGCAGCAGCAAGATCATCCTGGTTTCCTGCCACCAGCGATCAACAACTGGAACCAGCATTGGATCACGCAGCACGTCCCGCCCATGGCCGCGCCATTCTTCCACCCCGATCACGCCCACCATCCAATGCAGCAGCCGGCGCAAGCTTTCGGTGCCGGTACTAGTGCCTCCCTTTTCAATTCACCCAGCACGCTCAACAATGTGGCTCCAGTTCACGTTGGATCCTTGGTGTGGTATTTGCAGCAGCAGCAGCAACCGAGCATGATCGAGCAAAATCACCACCACCACCACCACCACCAGCGGAGTTCTTCTGGTAGCCGAGCGGAAGAGCCCAGCTTTGGACACCAGGAGATCAAAGGCGACGTAGACGACGACTTTAGCGCCAAATACTGCGAGAATTTCCTCAAATTCGGTGACTTTGGCACTGGCGGGGATCCGGAGCGAGAATTCAGCAGCAGCCCCAGCGGCGGCGGCGACGATGGCGAGCAAGGCTCGCCCGGCTGCTGCTCCAACGATCACGCCGCGTCGAGCTTGATGATCAAGCCACCGGTGGTGACGTCGAGGTGCTCCATCCCGGACGATGGTGGTGGCAAGGAATCGCCGTCCATGGACACCAGCTGTAGCAATGCAAGTGGCGGGGACGGGGGATTCCAGTTCTGGGACACATGCACGACCACGAGTAACAGTAGCGGCGGCGGCGGTGGCGGTGGTGGTGGTGGCGACGCCAAATTCAGCCTCCCGTTCCTCCGCGCCGCCTCCTCCGCCAATTCCTCCGACGACGCCGCCTCCGACAGCTTCTCCAACTCGTCCATCCGGTGGAGCGAGCTCCTCCCCAGCCCCGCCATCGCGCCGCCGGTCTGCCATGGTGGCGCCGCCATGGCAAAGCCGCGACAGCACAGCGATCAGTTTGGAGATTCATCGCCCTCCACGATTATGATCAAGTCGAGTGGTACGTCATGGTACGATCGTCGGGAGGAGGAGGAGGAGTTCTCGCCGGAGCTCCAGCGGATTGCGGCAGCTTTGGATCAAATCATTTAAGATCTTTAATGGCTTTTCTATACATTGCTACACTCGATCGACCGATGTTGGCGCGCATTATACGCTCACTATATAACCATTGATACGTTATACGTATTATATGGATCCATGCATTTGCTCGGATTTGGATCATATGAGATGTTCTTCGTTCCTTCGTTCTTTGTAACATTGATTTGATAGACGAATTGGTTGTTTAAAGAAGGCTTTTGTTGTATGCAACGAAGGTGTCTATAGAAGGCTTTTCAGAGAGCTTGGTGAAAGTTGGCGATTGATTGATCAATCTTCCAATGTCGCCTGTTTGTTTGCTCGTTTTTGTTTGTTTCGTTTGGATGGTGGCGGTGATTGACATCGATTATAATTGAGTCCTTGGAACAACAGCAACACAACGCTCCAGAAGATCGTCCATGATTTCCACTTAGTTTTCTCAATCTTCTTGGAGAGATTTGACAAGACGAGGTATTCTTTGTACTCTAGCCCTCTGAGAGATCGAGTGAATCCCCGGAAAGGATTAAAATAATGCGCTTACTTTAGCGTTGATAAAGCCGTGCGCTAAACAATCACCGTCGCCCAGAGGGTACAAATCCCTGTTTGCCTTTATTGACCTCGCTCGATCCTTACTTTCTGTCTCCACATCCAGCCAACTTCATCGAGTGAAGAAACTCCAATCCTGTACATCATTCGCATCCAAGAATCGATGATCTTCCCAAGAACCAACAGTCTGGACTTTGTTTGAATGTCGGTGGCGGTGCCACGAATTCGAGAGAATCAATCTAGAGAGAACAAAGCGAGCCCGTGATTCGTTTCAATCTCCTCCTTTGACGCATACCACAAAGCAAGGAAGAAATCGCCCATGGACTTTGTCTTTGACGCAGCCTTTGTACAAAGAAACTATCTCCTTTTTTGCTCTCTTTTCTTCTACTTTCTCCCCTTTTCTTCCTCGACCCAGAAGCTTCTGAAAAAAGACCAATATCAAACCTTTTTCTTTCGAGTGAATGAATGAACGCTGCCGAGTGAGAACCCTAGAAAATGTTTGTCATAAATGCTCTGCCACCTTTTCGTTGTTTCGTTCTTTTCTTTGCATCAAATTGCTTTTCTTCTTTTGCTCTGCCATGCCCGCAACTACCATCTTATTCGCGGTACTTTGGATTGAATTCTCGTCCAGAGATCTTTAGGTGATCTTGGAGAGCGCCATCGCTAGCCCTCTTCATGGGTGGGAAGCAATCCTCTTCTTCTACTTCGTGCTATAACGAGAAGAGGAAGCTCCGCAAAGGATTGTGGTCGCCCGAGGAAGACGAGAAGCTGGTGCAATGCATCACAAAGTTTGGGCATGGCTCATGGAGCAATGTTCCCAGACAAGCTGGTGATTCTCATTTCTACATTTTTCTTCTATCAATCCCTCCACGATTTCTTCTCTTCGTGCTCCAAGTTCATTGCTTCGTGTTGTGCGCATAAATTGTCGAATCTCTCTCTTATCGTTTCTTTAGTTTTTAATTCCCTTCAATGGTTTTGGAATGAACTTGGTCGAGACAGGTTACATTTTCTTCTTTCTAATCTTTGATTGATCGATCGATCGGCACAGGATTGGATCGCTGCGGCAAGAGCTGCCGGCTTCGATGGATAAACTACCTTCGCCCTGACTTGAAACGAGGTGGTTTTGGCGAGCACGAAGAGCAACTCATCATCGATCTCCATGCCATCGTTGGTAACAGGTCGATTCAATCTCAAAATCAATGTCTTTGGACTTGACTTTCGCTTGAATTTGTTGTGGCAGATGGTCACACATTGCCCGGCAACTGCCCGGAAGAACAGACAACGAGATAAAAAACTTCTGGAACTCGGTGATCAAGAAGAAACTACGGAAGATGGGCATCGACCCAAAAACTCACGCGCAGATCACGTCACCCTCGATGACCTCGCCACAATTCAGCAGCAGTGAGCTCATTATCACCGATGATCATCAGCAGAGTTTCGACGACCCCTCGGGTGTCATAAGCAGCTTCATGAATCACGCTCCATTCTCATTCCAACAAGATCATCAAGATCCTTCCACTTGTGCCACCAGCAATCTTGTCGTGCTGCATGGCTCCTCGTCCGGATCCCGCGATCAAGAGCTTGCTGGAGCCTCGAGCTCGGCTCTAGTCGATCATCGATTTTACGACCCAGCAGAAGCAATGGATTACAACTGCGCGGATTTCAACCAGGGTGGTGATGAACGCCATGTGAATCAAGATTCGTCTTTGCCCGCCATGTCATGCACTGTACAAAGTTTAGCATACACCGGAGATTTTCCAGGCGAGGCTTTGCTCTCGCCGCCTCTCCTGGATTGCTTCCATCGCGAAGAGCAGCACGAAGACGAGCAACCATTTGTTCTTCCCGCAAATGCCACTAGCTACAACGCAGGGGAGTATTATCCCCTTGGCTTTCACCAGGCATTCATGTGATTACAAGTTGATACAAAATCTATAAACTCGGCTCAGATTTAAGCTTGTAAATTCACGAGAATACATAAAAAAAAGCTAGTTTGTCACAAAGTATAAATCTCTATCACTCCAGTGTCTAGCCTTTTCCGTTTGCGTTGGACTGTTTTGTGTAGTGGCAAAGTACCCAAAACGTTCACAGCCAAGAACTTGTGATCGGCTTAGAGTCTAGAGCTCCAATAACGTATATTACAGACAACATGGAGAAATAAAAATGTAGTCACATGGTTTTATTTGTCGAGCTCGATCGAGTGAATGAATGGATGGTATACATGTATGTGTGCCTGTGTAAGTAAAATTTATATACATTTTCTTTTCATCACTCACATGTGTTGTAGCGCCGCTGCCAAGGATGACTGCCAATCGGAAGCCGCCAGCTCGGACTTGATGCCGGAATCAAAACTTGGAATCTTTGACGCGGTGGTGGCGCCGCCACCTCCTCCGCCACCACCGCCGAACGTAAAACCCATGCCACTGTCAAACTGCGTTGACCTGCTCTGACCGTCGTTCGTCAGCGCAAAGTCAACGGCCGCCAGATCGTAAGGCTGTTGCTGGTGCTGCTGATACTGCGGGTGATGGTGGTGGTGGTGATCAAAGGAAGCCACCGCTGGCGGCGATGCATCGCAGATTTGATACATGAAATTGGATCCGGTGTGAGTAGCGAAAGCGTTGTTGTAATTCAAATGCACGATGGCCGGAAGAACAGCGCCAGTGGTGCTCCCGGGGAATTGCTGCCTCATCTCATCCCCCTGGTGCTCCTCCCCTGCCGGATTCCCATCGAAAGTACTAGTACTTGAGCGATGATCAAAGTCTGGATTGTAGCTGCCGCGGCCTGATGGAGTACTAGCCCAGTGATTATCCGGTCTCATGCTTTGCAGTGGGCTCGAGAAGATCGCTTCGTTAGCACTGTGACTGGCTACTGGAACTAGAGGTGAGTGATCTTCCACGCCGGGCCTGGTGATCATCCACTCGTTGTAAATCCTGGAATCCCTCGACACGTTGCTCAAATCGGAGAAGTTCCTCAACAGAATTCTCGCAGCTCCTCCTCCTCCTTCTGAATTCACCACTCCAGGCGATGCAAGTGGATTGACGACGCTCCTGGAGTTGCAGCTCTCGTGGTGATTGATTTGCAGCTCGCCAACCAGTGCTGGATTGCGGAGGAGTTTGGTGTCGGAGAAGCTGCGGCCCAAGCGAGGATGGGCTTCGAGATTGATGTTGTAGGGGTAGAGCTTGGAGGATTTGAGGTCGCTGTGATCGCCCGGTTGGGACTGCGAGGACTCGGACTCGGCGGAGCCGGATTTGAAGGAAGAGATGTCGTCGCAGGGAGGGAACTGTGGCAAATTCTTGCCGATGCTCGAGCCCGCCGCGTCGTTCATTATGGGCTTGTGAGTCTTTGGGTCTATCCCCAGGCGCTTGAGCTTCTTCTTGATGCACGAGTTCCAAAAGTTTTTTATCTCATTGTCGGTGCGGCCGGGGAGCTGTGTAGCGATTTGCGACCACCTTGAAACAAGAAGGAAACTTTAGCAAGCTTTTGCAAAAAAAGTTGTTTTGAAACTTGGAGGAGTTTCATGGTGTCTTGGGATACTAACCTGTTGCCAACGATCGCATGAAGATCGATGATGAGTTTCTCCTCTTGAAGCGAGAAAGCACCGCGCTTGAGATCGGGGCGGAGGTAATTCTTCCATCTCAATCTGCAGCTTTTCCCGCATCTCTCCAGTCCTGTTGGATCGGAATTGGGCCAGGAAAACGCAAAGAAAATATCCATCTTGGCTTTAGAGAATGGAAGCTTTTCATTTCCTTACCAGCAAGCCGAGGTACATTGCTCCAGCAGCCATGGCCGTAAGTGGTGATGCACTTGACAAGCTTCTCGTCTTCCTCGGGCGACCACAAACCTTTGCGAAGCTTTTGTTTCTGGCAACACGAGTGTCGCCCCATGCGACGGGGGAAACTGGTTACGAGAAAATAGAAAAAGTGAAGAAAAAGAAGGAAAAAAACAGATTATTGCAGAAGAAGGAACAACTTCGCGAAAGAGAAGAAATAAAGTATAAAAAAGGAAAGCTCGGTGCAAGCAAAGGACCAAAGGACTGAAGGACACACACTATAAGTTTTACTTGCTTGCTTCACTCCTAAAGGCTGGAAGAGAATGAGAGAATGTGTGCATGCATCAACTGGAGACTGGAGCGCAGCAGCTCCAACAAACGAAATCGGAGATCTTTCCAGAGACAATTCCAGTTGCTCAGTGCAGCAGCAGTAGCAGCAGTGGGCAGCGCTGCACAGAATTTATAAGCGCAAGCTTTCACTAGGCATTTCTCCTGGGAAGTCTGCGCTGCGAGAGGAAGGAGAAGAGGAAAAAGAGGAAAAAGAAGAGTGAAAATGGAGCAATTTCTCGTTGAGCACTGGCCACTTTCACCAGATTGACGACTGCTATCGTCATAAGCAGCGAGATCCAGGAGGCGCTGGAGGAGACTTCCGTGCAGGACTTACAGAGCTTAGGCGAGAATTTGGAGGAGTGATGGCGTTGGAGAAGCTTGTTTGCATCATTGTCAGGATGCCTTTCGTCGGCGCTGGCAGCGCCGGTGAGCACTGGCGATCGAAGCGCACATCCAAATCGCAGACTTGAATTGCAGCGTAAGGACAAAGATTGCATGCACATGCTGCTGCTGGCGGAATGGAGAAATCAAAAACAAACGCGGGCGCAATTAAACCCTAACCCCAAGAGCCCTAATTTACAGCGCGGGAATGTGGGGACCATGCACACGTGGATCACTTAAACCACACATGGGCCACGTACGGCAGTGGTGGCCCATTTCTTTGTGTACCGCCACCTTTTTCCTATTTCTGTAGCGTGTCTAATGGAGAGCCTCACATCTAGACCCAAAGAATTTATATGCTTTGATACAAAATATCCGAGAGTTTTCCTTCGTAGAAATATGTACTTGTATCTGTCGTTTTGCCTTGGATCTCACGAAAGAGAGACTTATTAACGGGGTTTTAGGGTTTAGGGCTAGAATATTTTGCTCGTGAGTTGGGTGGTCGCGCTTCATGCATTTAGACGCTCCCGTCAATATCATGCATGCGTGCCCGGAGAGATGTATTTCTTGTTATGGATGTCTTTCGCGCATTGGCACCGGAAAGATTCGAACCGGGGCCGCCACGCTCCTTTTTTCTTGTTCACCTCTCTCCCTCAGGGGAGGGGAAAAAAGAAGCAAGAATACAAGGTGGAGCAAAAGATTGGAATATGTGTGCCTTCTTCTTGCCTGACACAATGTAGGCCCCAAGAAGACACCACCTTTTCCTTTAAAGAGAAAATACAAGATAAGAACTTCACAGGGCTTTGTAAGTATGAATTCCAGAGATTCGACAGAGAAGTCTTGTGGAATAGATTATACAAGAGATTAATCCATTTACCATGCAATTTTGGGTTTGACAAAAGAGGGGTCTCTGAAGAAAAAACCGTAAAGGAATCAATGACGATGTTGATGACGGTTGTTGATCTCTGGGCCTTTATGAGACGATTTAAAGCCTTTTTTTTTCCACCACTGGCTTGCAGATGAGAGATTTCTCTCGTCCATCTGACGGCATTGCACAAGGTGGTACGGGGAAATTATAGAGCATATTGACGAGGAGAACAACAGGTTGGGATCATAAAAGCGCTCCAAGACTTACTACAAGCTTTCTTTCCCCTCCTGGGCAATGAAATGAAACTCTCTCCTCTCGGCATTCTGTATGTAACACAAGACGTACTGGGAAGATGGAGCATCAAATCAGTCTGTCTCAGCTTTTTAGTTGTTTGTATGTTTCTGTATTTTGGATGGATATATTTTGAATTCAGAAGTTCAGAATAAAAAGTGTTTTTCAATTTTCTATTTTATTGCTTTAAACACCATACTGTTTCTATCTAGTAAGCGCATAAGGCCGATTTTTAAAGAAGAATGAAAATGAAGAAAATGTTATATGATAGATTTCCTCTGTTATCCAAAGTGTTAAACATGATACACGTTTATGAATATTTTAATTGCTTAAAAACAAGAAATATTGCAGAAGTTCTTCAACTCAAGATCTTGATAAAAATCTATAACTTGTTTCAGTTAACAATTTCAACGACACTTCAGAATAAACGATATAAAACATTTCACAGCTTTGTTACAAACATATCCTGATAGTTCTAGACCTGAAACTTTAAAAGTTGTTCTGAGCTAAGTAAAATGCCAAGAAGAATCTAAATACAAAAGTGGAATGTATTCCAATTTTGAGTATAACATTACACATAAAGGACCTTTGGATATTCCTAAATTTATCCTGACTATAAACTCTTCTGATTCAAACCGTGTGTCTTGTTTCCGAGCCTTACCTTAATTCAAATTCCAACTGCAATTAGGGCGCATTAGGGTGGACCTTCAACTTTGGACTATTGTGTTTTCTAAAATATGAAATTAAGTTCCTTACAAAATCATGGAAAGATATGCCTCCAACTTCAACTTTGGACTATTGTATTTTTCTAAAATATGAAATGATTGCATAAGTTCCTTACAAAATCATGTAAAAATATGCCTCTAATGCTGTGCATTCTAGGTAATGAGGCATTAAGAGTTGGATTTTGATTTCTGAAGGTCTTTGTTTAGGTAGTGCTTCAAAGTGTGATGATGTATCAATGAGACTTTGTATTTGCAAATGCTTCTTCCCCAAAACAATTTGTTTAGCATTGCAAAAAACAAATTAAAATATTAATATAAGGTTTTCCTTTTTATAAATCCAATATGAATTTTTTTATTAAAATTTTCAAACAATAAACCATGATTTCTGCTGCACAGCTATATAATTTTAGGATGATTATGAAATACTTTAAGCTAATATTTATTTATAATTTTTAAATATTCTTAAATTAAGTATTTTACATATTTTATAATGATGGAAGGATGAGATTTAAGTGAGAAAATAATTTTTTAATAACAAATGAAGCTATTTTATTTGTTCTCGAGTAAGATGTATTCTTTAATTTTAAAATAATATTTCTCTAATTTTGATATTATTCTAATTGATTAAACAGATTTAGAGTTTTTTAATACTCAAATTAAGTAATGAAAATAACATCAAAATGGGAATTTTTATTTTATCTTGTTTTACACTTTATTTATATATAATTTTATTCTTTATTAGAAGTGTGAGTGCATGGAATATAAAACTTTGCATATTCAATTAGCCCAAAAAGTTTAGTTTATAAAGTAGTCCAAATTGAAACCATTCCAATATCCCATTACACTAATAATTGTATATAATATCGTAGCTATGGATCTCATATCATCCTCTTCTCTTTGAAGGATAAATGGTAATTAAGGTTTTATGGTTGATGTGAAGGAATATAAAGAAGAAACACTAATGAATATATAAGTAATGCCACTTATTCTTAATCTTTTTGTATGAAGTGCTTGAGTTATTACATATGTATAATTTCTATAGAATTAACTTGTTGAATGTCATACTGAACCTTATAAATTTAAGGTCTAACTTGCTTTAATGTTTGATAAGGTTCCCTTCATTAACTAAGGAGTCCTTTATATAAATTATGTATCGTGAAATTGGGAAAATAAATTAACATTAGATTATCCATTTTATACTTTGCAAATGAATGATGATGAAAGTTGTAATGCTACTATTATCCTATTTAGATGTGTTATAATTGATGTAGATTTAAATACTCCCATCAAAATTCATCACAAAATGAAGTTCATATACCTGAAACTAATTTGATGACTATCAAGATTTTATTGCACTAATGATAATATGGCATTGTAACTATATCACTAATGATAATAAATAATAATATATTTATTTGAGACAATTATTTAAAAATCATGACTAGATGCTGTTAACCATACAAATAAATATATAATGGTTAACTTTGAACTATCAATACAGATACTCACCTCTAACAAAGGTTGTGACATACGAGGGCCTTACCCGGTTACACCGAGGCACAGGTTGCGAGCACGGGGGTACACCGTCGCGGCCAAAAGTCTTCTCCACGTATACCTTGAGCTCCCTCTCGATTTTCGCCGACAGCTCGAACTGATCCTGCTTGTTGAGGCAATTGATAATGGTCCTGTAGGTGCGAACGTTGGGGGGAGCCTCCGATTCCTTCATCATCTCGAACACCTTGAGCGCATCTCGGAAACGCCCCGACCCAACGAAGATGTCGATCACTTCCGTGAACATGGCAATGTGAGGCTCGGCTTTCTCTTGCTTGATCGTTTCGAAGAGCGAGTAGACGCCTTCGACCCTCCCGTTCCTCGCGAGAGACTTGAGCATGTCTCGGTAGAGTGGAACGCTGGGTTTGTACCAGACTTCCTTGCGTGCTCGCTCAAAAACCTGTAACACCATCTAGATCATCAAAGCCAAGAAGAGAACGAGAAAACAAGGACTTACTTGGAAAGCTAGATCCACTTCGTCGTGTCGCTGGAGCGCATGTAGCAGCGCCAATAGATCCAACTTGACAAGCCGGCCGACTTTGGAAGCGAGCACCTCTTGGAGCGCTTTTGAATCTCGCTTGGCCAGTTTCAAAGCTGCCGCGGCTTGCAACGCCTCAGAGCCGAGATCTTTCTTCCCTCTCCACAGAGGGGCTCGTAGCAGCGATCTCTGTGAAAATGTAGCATACCCAGATACCTGCGTTTTGCTCCCAGCAATGATCTTGAGCAGCATCCCGTGGAACCCTAGTAGAAACTCTGGTGTGAGAGGGGGGAAAAAGGACTATACATTCGATAAGTTAGTACAATTGGAAACCGAGCAAAGCTCACCCTGGAGCAGACAAAATGCGTTTTCTTCTTGGTTCTAGAAAAGGAGACCCTCTACTTGATTGTGTAGCGAAGGTGCTGCTCGTAGAAATCGATCAACTGCAACGAGCAGTCAAGCGAGAGTAAAAAAATGTAAATTTTGATCGATAAAACGTACCAAAAGTGGGAAATGCTGCCTCAAAAACTTGTTATCCACCACCATCTCTTTGCCATCCGACCTGTAGTAATAAGTTAGAAAATACCGAGAGAAGAGAAACAAAAGAATCAAACCTTAGCGTGCTGAAGAGGACCAAAACTTCTTGCTTGTCGTTCTTGATGGAGCTCGAGTAGCTGAGCGGCTTTAAAATCTTGACGACCGGGACGAAGTTCGCTGATTTGGACGACGAAAGCTTCTGGACCCGCTCCGGGGAGGAGAACGCCCTCTTGGTGATGTCCGAGCCTGGAAACGACGACCGATACTCCTGGAGTTGCATTTTCTCCGCCATTGTTCCTGACATTGCCGCGGCTCGTATGGTGAAACCGCCGTCGGGCGTCTTCTTCACTTCCTCGTAGAGGTGAGCGTTCTCGGAGTCTTTCTCAGGCAGCGGTGCCTTCGTGTCCTTCGTTTCGGACAGCTTCACTCGACGGACAGTCCCTGCCTTTCTCTTCTTAGCTCCCGTGCACCGGCTGCTTCTACCCGTGTTGATCGTGTCTTCCGGCACCTCAGCCACATCTGGCTCATTGATAACGTGCTTCTCGACAGTAACTTCCGGAGAGCCGCTCGCCAGCACGCTTTCGTCGCAGATCACCGAGCTTGACACCATCACCTTCTCATGGTTGTCGTTAAGCTCGGCCTCGACGACTTGTTTGTCAACCGGCGTAGAAATGGAGTCGCCAGGCTGCTTGCTTTTGTCTTCCTCCGAGTTAAGTTTGTTTGAGTCTCCGACTTCCGTTGTCGCGGCCAGCATCGTCGTCTCGTCGTCAACTTCGTTGCCGCTGGGAGAGAAGTTCTCGGGATCGTCACCGAAGCTTTCGGGGTCGCCACCGGGAAAATTGAGAAGAGTTTCGGCCGCCTCTGCCGCTGGTGAGCCCGTACCATTGGTTACATTCGCAGCAACATCGTTGTCCGACCTCAGGCTACCGTCTATCGAGGAAGAAACGGCCGACTGACTTGCCTCGCTCGCCGAGAAACTCGCAAGCTTCTTCTTCCGAGCTGAAGCATTGGAACCACCTCTCTTCCGCTTTCCACCATTCGTTTTCCTGCACACCAACCTACATCAGCTCTCGCTCGCAAGACCTCAAAAGGAAAAAGTTTCACTTACCTCCTCTCAAAATCTTCTACAATGTCCTGGCACTGCTCTAGGTGCTCGAATGGCTCCCAGGTATTGACGCTTTCAGGCCAGCCTCGCCTAAACAGACAAACAGAGAAAAACCGAAAAGGAAAAACGAGGATGAACATAGTGTCGATAAAGAGAGAGGAAAAACTTACCATTTTATGAGATACTGTGGCTTTCCCTGAAAACACGAAAGTCTCAGTTTCAGATCTTCCAGAGCGGGAAAAAAAAGAAGTACCTTTCTTATCCTCCTCTTACGTATCGCTTCCACCTCGTAAAAGCCCTCTCTCAGATTTTTCCCGCTCGGCTCCTCTCCGCGAGGCTCTTCGTCTTCCTTTTTCCCTTCTTCGTCTTCGTCTTCGTCTTCTTCTCCCCTAGCTTCCAGCGTTTGCTCGCTCGCAGCAGCTCCACTGGCGATAATCACAAGCTCTTCTTGAGCCGGACCATTCCCGGCAATTAGCTGAACTTCGGCTGCTTCCATCGGCACCTCCTCGCAGCCCTGGCCATTTCGTTCTTCCGCGGCTCCATCACCGTCGCCCTGATCCAAGCAGCCCGAGAGCTCGCCCGCATTCTTCATTGCGGCTGCCGGAGCTCGCCGGAGCTCTCGGCGCAACCCTACGCGAGGCCTACCTCGTGGAATGGAGAATCAGGGCGCCATGGAATCCAAGCTCCTCCCCGCATAGCTCCTCTTGCCCTAAGTTTTGGGAAGTAAAATCTTGGACTTTTAAATTTTCTCCTGGAGCAATCCAGGCCGTTGAATTTCGCACGATCCCGATGCCTGATTTAGCCTAACTAGGTGGCTTGTACTAAATAGACGCTAACCCTAATAAACTATCTTAAACTAAAGGTATCTTAAGGCCAGCCCTAAATCTTTGTCTTTGTTTTGGCACCTTTTTAAGGCTCCTTTTTAAGTTTTAATTTAAGAAAGCATAAGGAATCTCTGGTCTATCCATCTAACTTATTTAAAGGCCTTTTAGTAGTGTCCACAACTTTGGAGCTCCACTTTGTTTGTGGGTTGGCTTGTTGACTGCCACGATCGCGCAATTCAATGACCTTTCGCGAAGAATCCAATCACGAAGAGGAAGTAGAGAAAGAAAAGAGACCAAACACCAAAAGAAAGAATTGTTACATGAGAGTCACTATCGATCTGGGCGAATCCTCTAGTTGTAGATAAGATGATGGAGATAGATGCGATTGATCTTCCGTCGTGTTCTTCAGGGAGAAGAGGCCGGAGTGGCGAGTGTGAGCTCGAGCCTGTCCACGATCCTGACGGCGGCGTCTCCCAGATTGTGGGCAAGAACAGATCCTCCAGGCGGCGGCGGTGGCGGCGAGACGACCTCGCCATTGTTGCTACTGTTGTTAAACACGACTCCACACATACTCGAGCAAGGGGAAGATTGCGTCCCTCCTTGCCGGTGATGGATCGGGGAAGAATCGCACTGGTTGTGATTGAGATTGATCTGGTGCTGCTGCTGGTGTTGCGGCTGCTGGCGCGGTGGAAATGGAGGAAGCTGGTGCTGATTGGCGGCGAAATTGGCGTAGCCATAGTTTGGAGTGACCGATCCCGAGTAGTCCGGAGTGGCGGAGCCCGAGAACCAATTCGAAGATCCAGCGCTGCCCCCGACTCGCATCCCATTCACCCATCTCCCAGTGCTCTCGCGATACCGGCTCCAGAACTCGAGCGCCGAGTAGTCCGAGTCGCCCACGTCCGACACCGGTGTGTCGCAGCCACCATCGCCGCCGCCACCGCCGCCGCCAGTACCGCGCGGCACCGACGACGTCATAAACGTCGGCGTGACGCACGCGTTGTCCCAGTCGGGCTTGAGTGACGCGGCGGTGCCCGCGGCGGCCGCGCGGGGCGAGTCCAGCGGCGGCGTCACGGGGGCGCTGTGGTGCCAGTGTAGCGGCGGGAGCCCCGCGGTAGCGGCGCCGCCGGGATTGCTCGGTCCCCCATTCGTGGAGAGCCCGTTTAGCCAGCCGATGAGCGACGATCTCTCGGTGAGCGCGCGGTACGAGGAGGAGGTGGGGCTGGCGGGGGCGGAGGCGCACGCGTCCAGTCTCTCCATCGGCCTGGATCCCTGGAGCGAGACCCCATTTTAGAGATCGAACAACACGAACAACAGGAAGAACACGAAGAACACGATACCTTTCGATACGTGGTGCCATCGTCCTCCACAACCCATCCCGCCTCGCGGCACAGCGCCTTGAGCACCTCATTGTTGTCGCAGTGCTTGGGGAGGTTGTAATTCCCCAGCTGCCGCAGCCCATTGAAGATCTTGGCAGCTATGGCGCGCCGCCGCCGCTCCCGCCGCTTGTTGTTCTCGCGCTCCCGGAATGTGGGTGTTCTCGACCCCGAGGTCATCGCCCAAATCCTCCTTCTCGCCCTCTCCTCTCTCTCTCTCTCTCTCTCTGATCGATCGATCGCTCAATCCATTTCCAGCACCATCGCCATCGCCCTCGGCATTCCTAGCATGATCTGGGCGAGCATTCTACACGAAAGATTCTTTCCCATTTCTTCTCAGGCGCCTTTCGGAGTGCTCGGAGACACACACCCAACTACACGACAGCCGCCACGTGGACATTAATCCCCGCCCTCGTGGCACACCCCGTGCTTTATGACATGGGCGGGGCACACACACGTATGGCTCGCACGCTCCCCTGACATGACGTGTAATCGATTACACACGTCAGCAGCACGTGAGGAACGGCCCACTCCCCCACCACCACGTGTCCGTTGCTAGCCACCACCAGCACCACCACCGAGCATTGGCCGGACACTCGGCGGGTGGTCACCTCGGCTACCCGATACCAGCGCCCGGTAGCAAAGCACCGAGTAGAACTCGGGCATGAGCTCGATCCTCCACTCCGGCTCCAGCAGCGCAAAGTGGCGATCGCTAACGCGATGGTAGCACTGGAACCAGAGGTAGCGCAGCAGCGGTAAGCCCCGGATGCCACACACGATCGCGGCGTCGCTAAACGGGCAGTTCCTCACCTCCAGCTTGCGGAGATTCGAGCACCCTCTTGCCAGACTGACGAGCCCGCGGTCCGAGGTGTCCGAGTCGCTCAGGCAGCCGAGAAGGATCCACTTGAGCTGCTGCCCGAGTCGCCCGATGCTCTCCAGGCCCCTGTCCGTGAGTCCGCCTTCCTTGAGGTAGAGTGCCAACTTGGTGATGCTCGGGCAGCGCTGGAGCAGGGACTGGACGCCGGCGTCCAGTGGCTCGGCCATGTCCGGCGCGGTCTCGAGGATCCCCAGCCGGAAGTCGAGCAGGCCCGGGCACGACTCCGCTAAGGCCTCCAGGGACGAGTTGGCGGCGTCGTGGACGTACATGGAGAAGCTCTGGAGATGGACGCAGCTCTTGGCCAGCGCCAGCATGCCGGAGTTAGAGATCGAGAAGCCGTGCTGTTCTTGCTGCCTCATGTTCTCGATCCGGATGCGTTGCAGGCCTTTGCAGTGGCTTGCGAGGAGCTCCAGCCCGATGTCGCCGATTATATCTCTTGCCTGTCACGGTTCGTCAGTACATCTTTGAGTCACCATCGCAAGAACAAGAGCTAGAAAGTCCATGCCAGGAAGAAAACTTGCCTTAAAGACTTGGAGATTGCGACAGCCCTTGATGATCTCCAGGTGTTGCTCGTGATTGGCAGTGGTGTACAAGAGATCCAGACTGGTGAGCGCGCTCGCGAGATTCGGCTCCATTGCCAGCTGGAGATCACCAGAGAAAGAGCTCAGTGACGATGGTAAAGAGACTTGAATGAGGCCGCAGAAACCGAGCTCCTGGAGGGAGCTTTGTCGCAAATCCAGCCTGCGATTGCGAGAAGGGTCCTCCAGATCGTTGAGTTTCAAGCTCTTGAGCTTGGAGCTGCTCACGATCTCCTCGACCAGCCGGATATCTCTAAGTTCCAAGCCTGTCATGGACAGGTTTAAGGCCTCGAGGCTAGCGCACGAATGGATAAGTTCACGCAGCCACTGTGATCCTTTGTCCTCGATATCGCTCTCGTCCAGCGAGAGCACCCTCAAATCCCTGCGGGAAATCTTTGTTTCATTCATTCATTGATCGGGGATTTCTAACGTACCTGCACGATCGAGCGATGGATTCCAGGCCCAGCGATGTGAATCCGGAGCATTTCTCGAGCTTGAGAACCTGTAGCGCGTCGCGGAACGTCTCGGCCAGGAGCGCCAGATCCTCGTCGGAAATCTCCATGCGCTTGAAATGGAGCGAGGCGAGAGCGCCAAACAGCGATCTCGCCCTCGCCAGCGCCAACGCGGCGATCCAGGGGCCGCCATAGCCTCCCCAGTCGACTGGAATGAGCCCGAAGTCGCTAGCCCTAGGCTTGCCTTTGATCTTGAGCGCGCGCAGCTGCCCGAATCGATCGATCACGTAGCCCGGGCTCACGGCGTAGGAGAAATTCACAGTAATCTTCTCCCTGGTGGCGCTCTCGGCATCGCGCCACTGCCGGCACACCCGCGCGACGCTGGCGTGGTCTTGATCGTCGCCGAGGCGCGAGAAGATGATCTTGAGGAGATCGTCTGGAAGGCGGCTGTTGATGCTGTCTGGATCATCATCGGCGTGAATCCACCGCCTGGAGATCTTCATGGAAGCCATAGCAATTCTTCTTTCTTTTCTAGTTCTTTCTACCTAGTCTTGGGTAGTCGTTACTTCTCCCTCTTATATCATGATAGAATATTCGCATACCTCTTTACTTTTAAAAAGAAAAGATGCTCTGATGTATGACGCATCCGGTAATGGGGGGGTCACATGACACGTTTGATCATAAGCCCTAGAAGGATATTCTATTTGAAATCTTAGGGTTTATGGGCTATGGCACTGTGTAGCTATTCCACTCCGGCTCGGAATTTGGGGTTCTTCGCTCCGGCCAGGCGCGCCGCGGCCAAAAATGTGGCCATTGGATTGCGGCTTCGCAGATCTTCGCTGGCGCGCGCGGCATTGCGGAACGATTCATTGCCGAAGAAGAAGCATCAGCAGACGGAGGATTTGCTCGCGGAGCTCGAAGGTGAGGGGAATTAGATGGGATTTGTGGCGCTGACAGGAGATTTTAGATGAAATACAACCGTTTCTGGAGCTCCAGCGCGAGAGCGCCATGCGTTTACGCACAAGTAAGATTTTTTCCTTGTTCTTGTCTTCGTGTATTCTTATCGTTTTCTACTTTTTTTTCCTGCGATTGCAGTGAAGCATTACGAGATCATGTACCTAGTGCACGAAGCGAAAGTTGGAGAGCTCAAAGAGATCGTGGATAAATTCACTGGTTAGCTACAATGTTTGTGTTTTTCCTTCTTGATTGAAATGCTGCTCCAGGTTTTGTCAAAGAGAAGAAAGGGAGGATCTGGAGATTCAATGACTGGGGGATGAGAAGGCTGGCGTACAAGATCAAAAAGACGTGGCACGCGAACTATATCCTGATGAACATCGAGGTTGGGTCCGAGTATATCAACGAGCTCAACGCACTCCTGGAGAAGGACGAGAGGATCATCCGGCATATGATCATCACGAGAAAGAAGGCCATCTCCAAGAAAACGGTGCCTCCGGAGGAGCTTCCACCGTCGCGAGCGGAGCTCTTGGAGAAGGAACTGGCGGCGGAAACGGCCGCCGAGGAGGCTGCGGAGAAAGAAGAGAAGGAAGCTAGAGTTGCGAAAAGGAAAGCTAGGAGGGAGGAAGCAGCAGCAGCAGCAGCAAAAGCAAAGGATGAAGTGAAGGAAGATGAAGTTGAAGTTGGAGAGGAAGATGACGACGATTTGGAAGATTTGGATCTATCAGCATTGAAAGAAGAGGATGAGATTGAAGACGAGGAGGAGGAGATTGAAGACGAAGACGATGAAGAAGATTTTGACGACGACGAAGACGATAGTGAAGAGGACAGTGAAGTGGAAGACGACGATGAAGAAGAAAACGAAGAAATCAGTGCGAAGGCACAGCCAAATCAAAGCCCACGAAAAAGGTGACGAAGGAACCGGAGATTATCGAAAATTTTGTTCGGCTTTTAAGCCCAGTTAAGTACAAAACTTCGAGAGAGCCAGAGTTCGCTTCTAGCTGCTATTCACTCTTTAAATCTGCAAGAGAAAACTCCTTATGAAGCACTCGACCGTGCAATACTTCTTTGTTTTTTCTCGCGTGAGGATTTAGATTCGAGTCTACCTATGATCAGCACCAATTGCTTCCTGGGCAGACTTGAATCCATCTCTTTCAAGGCAAGCTGCTAACTCGGCCTGTGCAAAAAAAAAAAACCAAACAAAACACTTGTAAAACACTGAATGGTCTCACGTACTTTGATTCGGGGTATAAGCGCTGGGCCTTCATATGCAAAAGTAGTATACAGTTGCACAAGAGTGGCACCCGCTCGAATCTTCACGTATGCCTCTTCTCCACTGAAATATAAAAACTAAGGACCAAGAAAAAAAAAACATTCTTTTCATTGGAGAACATACCTGCTTATACCGCCACAGCCAACGAGTGGAATTTTACCCTGTGAGAAAAGAATCAGCTCTGGTCAAGCCTCGAGATTCGCACACACTCACCCACGTAAGCTGGTACATTTCTCGAAGAACCTCCGTGGATAAGGTGAACAAAGGCTTTCCACTAAGCCCCCCCATTTCATCCGCGTGAACGAGACCAATGACTGAGTCGGGTCTTGAAACAGTCGTGTTAGCGATTATCTGGAAACATCACAGTACCGGTAAAAGGAAAGCTCAAACAGAAAAGCGCAAGGGCTCACCAAGCCATCCAATCGTAGCGAAAGTGCCACCTAAAGGGAAGAGAATCAGCTGAAAAGCAAGAAGATAGTTTAAGGAGAGAGTTTGACGTACAGCGGCAATATCCGCAAGATCTTGCTTTGACAGGTCGGGAGCGATTTTCACGAGTAGCGGCGGAGGGCCCTCTTCACCCCACTGCATCTCATCTCGCGCTGCCAAAACCTGGAAACGAGTTTAAGCTTGGAAGAGATTCTCAAGTTACCTTCTTGATCAAGTCCTTGAGCTGCTTACGGCCTTGAAGTTTTCTCAGCCCGGGTGTGTTTGGCGATGAAACGTTTATTACCTGTGAAACGATCCTCTGCATCAGTACCAAACATAGATTTCTTCCCGCAAAACGTACCAAATAGTCTGCATATTGAGACAAGGTGTGCACACCTTGGACATAGTCTGCCGCGGCATCTTCGCTTGTTTTGTTTTTACCCAAGTTTACCCCCAAAATCCCTGGACCAGCCTTGCCACCAAGAACACGTTGTTCCGTGTTCGTCGTTATGGCCGAATTTACCGTCTCGGCCATCCTACGTTTACCGTGTTGTGCTCCTAACCTCTTCGCTACTGCTACGATTCCCTCGCTATTAAAACCGTATCGATTGATAATAGCACTGCAATCACGGGAAAGAGAAACAAAACGAAGTTGTGAGAAACAACGAAGAGTAAAACCGAAGCACCAAACATGAAAAAACAAAAAAAAACGAATGACGTACTTGCTTACCCCTGTTCCGGTAATCTGAAAACTCTCGGTTTGGGATTGCCTTCTTGCGGGACAGGAGTTACGGAGCCAACTTCCATAAATCCGAATCCTATGCCAAGCAATCCCTCGACCGCCTCGGCGTTCTTGTCGAAACCAGCGGCAAGTCCGACTGGATTTGAGAAGGTTCGCCCCCAAACACTCACTTCCAGGACGGGAGGATCCGGCCTAGTTTCTCTCGGACACAAGCAGTGCGAGGAGGCCCATATCGCTACCTTGTGAG